GTGGGAGATGGAATTAGACTTTAGGCCTCTAGTCCACCCCCATACTCATATTTATTCAGTGATTTGAAGGATTCTTAATTCATATCCTTTGGGTTCAGAATGATTAATGTGAAGTCTGCTTAGATTGGTGGTGGATGACTAACCATGTAGGTGGTGATTCATAGCTGGCAATTATAACGAATAGCTTCCCAAGATGATCAGATCAAAGTAAGCCACTTTGAGCTTAATAGATTTTGAGAGACAGATGGTGCCTAGGTAAAGGGTCAACACACAAAAAAATAAGCATATTTATCCTTGCCTTGTACCGTGTTGTGAGAATAATTTACAGTGCCATCTAACAAAGTAACCTGTTCTATTGCATTCTAGTTATGATTTCTTTCTAAGTCAGCTAATTGCTTTCCATTTTAAATGTACATTCATAGCCAATTATTGATATTGACCAGACAATACCAGAATCTGAGGTCTTCTTGAGCTAGGAATTCATGCTTTGCAGGACAATTTCAGACACAGCATTATGTGAAATTAAATTCAGTCTTGTGATCTCTGAGTTGATAGAAAACATTCTGAGGAGCATCTGTGTTTTTGCAGTCATTGAAAAAGACGTTCACAACCTACATTCATTCTTTTCAAGTGGCATTTAACGTAAACACATATTTTTTATTATACCATTTTTCATAACATCTTAAATTCTCAGAAACCGCTCATCATCAATTTTCTTGGAAGTCCAGAGATGCTCTTTGTCACTCAGATTAAATGAAATTTGCACTAAAACATTTGCAATAAAACATTAAAAACTGTCAACTTTGTATATAAACTGCTTCTTCTCCCTAGATTCACTGGAATAATTTCTGTATAATGTGTGGGCTATTCAAAATCTGAAGAATCATTATCTCCAGTAGAGAGGCCCAAATTACATACATTCTCTCAGGACCTGGCCCATTAGCTTAATTCTCCCTGCAACTGGCAAAGCTACTCCAAGATCAGTACGAAATATTGTGTGTTGTGGAAATGAGGGGAAGTGACATGTTTGTATTCCCACATAAAATGTAAGGAAATAAAACTCATCCCATTTTAAATCCTTTGCATGGACTGCAGTGTAATAACTCTACATTTTCCCTTCAGTGATGCCACTGCCGACCTGTCAGGCCAAATCACTGTGAAATCAGGGACAATACCTTTTATGGTGATATCTTTATTACCTAGGTGCTATCCTCAGAGCACTCAAGGTGCTGCCTTCTCCACTAGATCATCAGATCTATCCAAGCAGCACAGCTGTGTAACTCCTCTGATATGGGGCAAAAGAGCTCACAGGAAGAGAAACACTCAAAGTCATAAGGACACATTTGTTTAAATCAAGAAAGACTACAAGATGTTACAGAGGAAAAAAACCCAACTCTTTTCTGTTTCATTTGCCAAACTTCACAGATAGAACACTGACAAAAAGAAACTTTCATCTGTGATCATAGAATAGAATCACAGAATCATAGAATATCTTGAGTTGGAAGGGACCCATACAGATTACTGAGTCCAATTCCCTGCTCCCTTATGTAGGCATACTCTTCTTAAGAACAGACTTTCACATTCTGAGTGTGTTTTTTAAGAAGTTGATTTTGATCTTTAAACCTAATTTTATTTTTATAGAAGTTTTGAAGTTACACAGACTGAGATGCTCAGACATTGTAGCATCTGGACTGACTGGTATAATATATAGCTATCAAAAGCTAGTAGAATTCTCTTTATTTTCAGTTTATACAGGTTTGTCACCTGTTAGGCCCTGTTTTCTTTGACTCTATCACCATGCAGCCTTATGTTATCTTTCTGCCATTTGCTCAGATTCTGGTACTGCTATTAATGCTACTCTTGTACCCAAACCAAGTAATTCTCATATCAAACAGATTGAGAAATACTCTCATAACATTTACTAAGTTCCACTGCAATGTACACATGCACTTCAACAATACAGGCAATAAATTAATTGCAAAATTTTCTTTCCTCAGAAATGACTGGGGTTAATTGTAGCTTCTCCTTATTCTGAGAACATTAAAACCTAGCAAGCCTACGCAAAGGCTGCATCCAATTTACCTTCATCACCACTTCTAGTAGAGATGCCTCTCTAAAAGCAACTGATGTCAGAATACAAATGATATTTTGGTACTTCCCTACTTCTCTTGTGATGCTGTTCACACGCACTAAGAAATACAGGCCTTTTTATAGCAGGTAATTGAGGAAAACAATGTGCTGCAAATCTGAGCAGTAAATGACTTTACTGCTTAGACATGGAAGCTTACAGTAAGAAAACACACTTTTGCTATGCTAACAAGCAAGGTCTTCATATATGCCTCAGTTTGCAGTGTAGCCTGTACAGACCTCTTATTTTACAAAAAGGCAAAACACAGCATTATTGACAGCTTTTGCAATGTGATGTGGCGTTCAGGATGCTAACCGGGAAACATAAGCTCTTCTTAGAATGCTCTGTGAGTATGTGAAGATCTAGGGAGGATAGGCACTAGCACAAGGGAGAGCTTTAATAATAGTATAATATAAGATGCATATTTTTTCTTGAAAAATACAATTGCAAACCCAGAAAGCACTGAAAATTCACTGAATCTTCTACTTGTTTCTGAGCTGTGCAAAGCTGAAGCTAAAACAGAGCAGGAAATTTCACCCTTTAAACCTTTATGATACTTCAAAAACATTCCCACAGCAGATTAAGATGAATCCAAAGTCATTTCACCGTTTTGAAATAGTCAATACTGCAGTATTTGGGGAGTTTAGACTTATATAATACCTCAAAGAAGTATTTAGGGAGTGGCCATGGTTTAGCTAATCAAGTGGAAGTTGCACATTAGATGTAAACATATGGCTACAGGGAAGATTTAGCTCACAAATTCAACTATTTGTAGGTGTCTACAGGTGAGCAGAGTGTCTAGGCATGTATAATAGTTAATGGAGAGACAGTCCACACTTTCAATGAAGTCTGGAGTTGTTCAGGTGAGCAAACGGAGGTGTCTATTGTAGGCTAAGCTGATGAGAAGAACATTGCATCCACTGGCTTGACTTAGTAACATGGACATTTTAGAAGATACTTGGATCCCACTTGACTTCTCACTTCCCATTCAGAAGGTGTGAATCTTCTATAGATCCTATATCATAAGTGGTAGAACCATGTGGATGCCTCAGATAATCTATAGCCTCTCAGGCAGCACTAGGTATCTATGTTCAGTGAAATTAATCAAGATCACCTACATCACCCAAGCTGGGTGTCTTAACCTTGAACTGACTCCCACAGAAATGCCATTCCAAGCATAATAGTAGTGTGATATCTGGGAAAATCAATTAAGGACATCATTCCAGGTCTGCTAGTAAACTGTTATCAACGCATAGAAGTACATGACGTGAATCATCCTGCATTTCAACAAACTCGATTATGTCTGAACTCATTTAAGTTACAGGAAACAGCAGGTTGGCTCATGGCTTTGGACAGAGAACCTTGGAGTGCTGTGGTGAAGGGGACATTTCTCCCAGTACAAGACAGCTGAAAGAATCCCAGAACAGCCAAAAGCGTGAAAGCTTGGTATGAACAGCCAAGTGGTCCTAGCCCAAGTGCACAAAATGGAAGAGAACTAGGCTGATCCAAAGTCCTGACTGAATAAGAAATCCTGCGGCTTGGGTTCCAGCCCTTGGTGTTCACTATGACACTGGGGGGGGGGGGGGGGGGGTGTGCCCTGGGGGGGGGGGGAATCTCTTAAAAAAGCCTGCTGTCTACATGGAAGATTCTCCTTCTGCACTAACAGTGTAAACCTGATGAATACAAGAAGTAGTACTGAATGGACATGCCAGACTTTTAGTGTTTTTAACCTCATCAGACTATGCAGTACAGCAGCTCACAAAAACAAAGCATGGTAATGAGCAACTCAGCTATACGGCAAGGTAGTCACTCAGTTAAGGTGCCTGTACTTCTGGGGGAAGATTTCACCTTGCTTTTTGTTAAGAGGCAAACAGAGTGGCCAGAATTTATTGAAGGCAAGTTGGAAAGAGAACTTAGAACACTCTGCTGCCAGTATGTAAAAGTAGCATATGCCTAACCTGAGAAAGCTTCTTGTTAACATCACCTCAGAATTAATGAGGAAGAGGGGAAATGAAGAAGTAAAAAAAATACTGGTCCTGGCTCTTCATTGGCTGAAGTATAGAAAATGTTGCGCAGCAGCCACATGAGAAGACATGCCCATTCTTTCTCATAGCCCACAATGAAATTAAGCAGTAGCACGAATCAAGTACATACCAAACGGCACAGGAATAATTAAGACATAGAATTAATTTCTGCAGAGACACAAATTTTGACGGGACAAAGATGACACAGTTAAATGCAGGTAAATGAGACACTAGCAGTGTAAGTAGGGACAAGATATAAATCTCTCACACTTTGGGGTGTAAGTCAAACACTGAGGGATATTAGTGACACCTTTCTTGTTTGAGTAGCAGCACTTAAAATTAATTTTGAGGAACACCAGTGACCCTGTCCCCAACCCTCTTTTCTGAATGCAATAGACACTGATCACTCAGAGGTAGATATGCTCACAGAAAGACTCACTCAGCTCAGCATGGCCATAATGAAATAAAAATGGGTCACCTACAGCATATCTTTAACAAGAGCCCAGATCAGAAGAAATGCTTAGGTATGCCCAGAAATCATATTTATAATTAATGAGAAACTTCAAAAAAGCCTTAAAATGAAGAACAAAAATCTGAGAAAACTCCTTTTCCTCTGCCCTGATCTCCCAAGTAATAACCTGATTTTGATAAACTTTTGTGAATAAGGACACCTACAAAGAGAATTGGGAAATTCAGGTGCACATTAACAGAAACTTCTGCAAGAGCAACAGACTGAAGGGACTATGACCTCATGTAAAAAACATCTCATGTCTCTATATTAATCAGGCATTCAAGTAAGTTCCACCTCCCAAGAATTAATTACAATGACAAAAGGGGGCGCTACTTACCTCGCCATTCAAAAAGCAGTAAAATACTGACACAAAGAAACCCTGTAAAGGATAGAAAACAGTCAGTTATTAAGTATGAATTTTAACACGCAGAATCAGGGACTGAGCTGGGATCATCCTGAGCAAAAACATAATCTTACTGAGATCATCCACCTTTAGACAGATGAAATCGGTACTGTACAACTTAATGAGAAAATACTGTCTTGCAGCTCACAGGTGAGACATCAGAGCTAGAATCTAGGCAGCTCTTCTACTAATAGAGGCATTGCCACTTCAGCTGTGCTAAAGCATAGCTACAGCTTCCAGTTGACCCCCCTAGAATAGCACAAACCTCTCACAGGTGCTACAGTATGCCTGTCAGATCTATATGGATGTCTCAGACACAGGGAGGTACCAAATGACCCATGATGGTCTTGTATGGGCAAGTGTATCATCAAGTTGCTTACATTCATCTGAGCTGAACTGCTCTGTGGAATCTATTGACAGCAGTGACTAGACCCCTGTAATGACTGCAAACATTGCAATGACTATAATGGAAGCTCAGATGACAACATGATGACACTTTCATCTTTAAACCTGTGAGTAGAATCCTACCCATTTTGCTTTCTGAAACGGACTGTAATTATTGTCATCATAAAGGAGAGATTTCCTGTGTTTTCTTTTTACATATTTCTTTGTAACACTAACAACAAAATAACCAGTGCAGCATTTTTTAAGACATTGAGCATCAGCAGATAAACAGTACAATTAATTTTAGGGAATTAAAAATGTGGATAGGTTCATTAATAAAAGCTAAAGTTTCTTTGTTCATAGATTAAAAGGGACATTTTTCATTTTGGATATTCAGTTGTGATTTCTGGTGGAAAACTCTCTTTCAAAGCTAAACGTGCAATCAGTAAAAACAGTAACCCAAACCTCAAAACTTCTGTAATACATAACCCTAGATTTGGCTTGACAGTGTGCGTGCTGTATATTTGCATTGGTATCCTGGGTATCAGAGTGCTTGTTCCTGCCCATATCAGAGACAAAACATTAATGTCAAGCATAGTTCCACCTTAGTTCAGTAAGGTCTTTAAGCGGAGGTGGAGCTCTAGGACACACCTACAAATCCAGAAATCTGGTACAATTACTCACATTCCACTGCCTTTTATCCTGGAAGAGTTACTAAGTTAAGGGGAGGGAGGAGACAGGTATGAGTTCTTAGTTGGTACAGTCTGAGGGCTGAGTGCATGCACCACTGCAACAGAGCTGGAGTGAGAAGCTAAGCAATATAGCTGACGTCTTAATCAAGTGAGCCCAACTGGTAGGGATTGTTTCCCTTTGCTTTAGCAACACCTACTCTAAGTCTCAGCTCACTGTGTGCTTTGTGAAGAAAGAGGTTCCTTGGGAGGCTGATTTCAGGGGCATTTTAGGATAGATGCAACATAATCTCTCTCTCCGTTGGCTTTAGATGGAGCCCAGGTGAGCATCTGTAGCTACAGACTGAACATAGTGTTGATGTTAAGGGAGATGAATCCCTCCAGTACACATCTGAGAGATGCCCACTCCACATGACATGCTTATATATCTATTATGTAAGCATGAACAAGGCTGACCTATTTTCAACTAATATTTCTATTATGGACTTAATTGCCATAAATTCATGGCTGAAATGCACTGAGGATCCTTTCAGCCGTAACTGATACCAGCTGTAAACATACTCTCTTACCTGAAAAGATTGCAGGAAGGAATTGAAATAGATGAAAACAATCTGGGAAATGTCATCTTCGCCAGGGTTGACAAAGAAAAGCATGTAGGTGATGCCCAGCAGAGGCAGAAGAACTAACGTTGCCTTGACTGCCTTCCTGCGAGCAGGAAACAGAAAACACAAGTGAACACAAGAAAGAACAACTGTGCTATCTGAACCACTGCAGATTGACCCAATCCAAACAAATCTCTCCTTAGCAGAGAGAGGGGATGAGTTTCAGAGCAATTCAGAGGGAAGTGAAGTACCTACACCTGCTAGAGAGGGAACTGAGGTGTCTCCTTAAGACAGTTCAGCACCTGCACACGTCAAACAGGGTGAGAAGAAAACAAAAGGATGGCTTAAGACGTCAGGGCTGTCTGAAATCCCTAGTCACTGAAGGAAAGAAACATTTTAAGAGAGAAATTAATGTCAACTTTTGTCCATTGTCTATCACTAGTGCATAGCTAGAAAACACAAGTTCTCCCTGTGGGTACCTCCATCTCACAAGGCATGCTGCTAGAGCATTTGCTGCGTATAGCAGTGGAAGCCTATATTTGCACAATGGCTAAATACTGTTTTTTTTCCCAGGAGGACACCCAAGTTTTAGACACTTCTCAGTCTGCCTGAACAGGAACAGTCCCAAGGTTTGTCACCAGATTATTGTTTAACCCAAGGTGAAGGCTCCCAGGGTCCTCAAGCAATGAAGAACACCAGTTTCTTAGGGCTCAGGAGAGGATATTTAAGAGGGAGCCTATCGGATACCATGTCTGAAAGGCTGGACAGAGTTTAGGAGAGGATCATGGAAAGATTGACAGCCTCCACCTTGGGTTGTGAAGCTACAGGTGAGTTTGCTAGTTAACACTACCTGACCAGTGCCTGACCACTTGGACAATCATGTTCTGGGAAAATTTTTGCCTTTAAATCCTACTGCTTGTCCCCACATTGTGAACTCCAAGGGACAAATGGTAACCTTTTTTATATCCCTCCCTTTCTCTCTCTTCTTCATCTAGACAGTTTCTTTTCCATCAATGAGGCTTTCATTTTGCTGAAGCCCTGAGATTCTCCGCAGGTTTGGTGAGTGATTTCTTATACCTCAGGGTGATGTGATAAACGCACAACTTAGCTGCTGACCAAGGCAGGAATGCAGTGCTCATGAGACCTGTTCTATGCCCATCTTTTGGTTCTGTCTGGAGTGTAAATGTTTTCTCTCCCTCTGCAACACCTGCACACCCAACTCCATTGCTTAGCACTGTCTTATAAATAATAAACAAGCCAGTGGTACACAGTGAAGCACAGTGATTATTAAGGGGCTAATCCTTATTACTGGTGCTATAATAGTGTCTTGGGATGTCAGTTGCAGAACAGCACCTCATTGTGCTACGTACTGTACACACATAAAAGACTGAAATTTTGCTAAGTCTGTATAAATCTCTGTATAATGCTGTAACAGGTAGATAAAGACAGGCAGGTAGGCAAGCAGGGGAGCACAGAAACATCACCAGTGTCATGATAGAGTGACAGTCTTAACAAAATAGCTGCCACTCATTTAATATCTGCTTAACAAGTGTTTGTACTACTTAGCTTTAGAGCAGCAAGGCTTGCCTCAGGCTTTCCTGGAATTCTAAGGCTTTCTATTTAGGCTGTGAAAAAGAAGTCTCCCTTACAGAGACTGTAGCAAGGATAAGATCACCATCATCTATTCAAGGATGAAGGCAGTTACTTCAGATTGCCTCAGAATCTAATATTTCTAATGCTCCCTGCAAACTAGGAGGGCTTTTCCATGCTAGTTTTAGTGTAATGGAATGAGGTTTGAGCATGAAAAAGGGGTATTTTTGCCTTTCATTTCTCAGGAAATGTGCAGAGAAATGTCTGAACAAGAAAATCAGACTTCTGCATTAACTTCACATTTGTCTTCAAACCCCAGACAGGAGTAAAAAGATGGAATCAGGCAAAGCAACAAAACTCCATTATTGCAGCAGAATTGCCTCCAAAGTCAAGGGCAGGCTAAATTGAGGCCATCAGGATTCAAGCATCAGCTTGATACACTGAAATTTTATCTAGAAGTGGTTTAAAGGATTGAGACCATTCTTACTGTGCTATTTCCCAGTGTAAGGACCTGTCTGTCCATATATGCTCCAAACCTTGCAAGATACTGCAAATGCTAACAGACTATTTAGACTGACCTAAGCCCACACTGCTGCTGGAAGGGGCCAGGCCACCTTCCTTCTGCTGCCCTGCGCTGAACATTCTTGTCTCCTCCTTTCTGCTATAGCAGTGCTTGTCAGGTTGCACAGCCAGCCAGCTTGGGGAACTGATCTGCCTGAGAAGCCACCCCATAGGAAGGTAATGATTTGCTGTGGATCAGTTCTGTGATGCAACCCACTGAGTGGTTACACTAATGCTGGCATCAGCTTAGAAGGGGCACAGTCACCCTTCATTCCTATACCCTTCACTTTAAAAAAACATTAAACCCTACTATAAATAACCTGTATGCACACAGTAATCATAAGTAATGGTACTGCTATTGATTACAGATATGAGTATTTCGGCCCAGGCTCTGATGTTCTTTTACTTCTGACTCTGCTGGGATTTTGGTATGAACAAAGATCTTAATATGCATATGCACATAATTTATTCAGCAGTCTTCATATTGTATTGTTCTGCATCTACAAAACTAGAGACTGGGACAGAGAAGCAACCTACTAGAGACCACAGTTTATCACTGATTTAGCTGCATGAATGGTCTAGTCATCAGTGAAAGGAGTTGTGATATATTTATATAATACATATGCTTGTGTACATACAGAAACTGATAAAGTTCCTATCCTCACTTGAAATCAAATCCTTCTGATTTCATTGGAAGTGCAAAATTTCATGTGTGCGTTGGCATGTGCAAGCCTGAAGGAGGTGAAGAGGCTGCTGACTGCAGCAGGGCACACGGCTGTGCCTGTAAGCCTAGGGTGTTTGCTTTGCTTGGACATTGAAATGGAGTGGATGGACAAAATGCAGGTATACTTTTATAGGTTGCCTGAAAAAACAAATACTGTGTACTTAACTGTATGAATTCAAAGGGCAACCCTCCGAGATGAACAGTGGCATCTCGAAAGACAAAGATGGGCCAAGGGCAAGACAGGCAAGGCAGTTCTTAACACCAGAAACAGCAAGAAGCACTAGCTGACTTACCTGTACTGTATTGTCTCTGAAGTGGTTGAAGCTCTCAGCTTTGTCATTAAAATCCTAACTATGTTAAACAGAAATACAAAGTTTATCTGGAAAAGAAGGAAGAGAGAAGAAAAAATAAGACCGGTGAATCAAATAATGGCGTAAAGAATATAATATGCCTTCAAAGGCATATTTTGCTGTTCCTATCTGATTGAAAACAGCCTTTTGGTTTTACCATTGATTGCAACAGACTCAGGAGTTTACTGGCAATATCAGACTATGCAGAAAATATCCAAAAGCCATTAATGTTTTCAAAACAGCAATGAAAATGGAGTACAAAACTCATGGTCCCAGCAAGGAACTTATTTTTATTCTCTATTACTACTTTCCCGGGTGCCACAAAGAAGTACAGGTGGGATTTTTTTGGCTTCTTGCCTCTGTTTCTGATTGAGCTCATCCAAGGCTCCCTGCACAGAGCATTTGATAGCACTTGCTGTGTTGTTATGGCAGGCATTTGAAACCATTTTTCCATTCCAGCTCAGGCTGTAATGGTTAGGTGGGGCTCCCCAGGCCTATAGTACAAGGCTGCACTGCAGAAATCTGAATGTGAGCTAGGCACACCAGACTCCCTTTCTATTCAGTGAAGGCTATACCTTGCACTAGCAAGAGACATTTAAAACAGAACAGATGAACCATACCAGAAAAATGCATATTTTTTTTGCACGGTCTTTAAAGGTGAGATGACTGTATTTACCACTACCCTTTTTAATCTGCTGAGCTAGGTAATTATTATTTCTGTTACCATGTCACCACCAAGAACTGAGTTTTGCTCTAATTACTGTTGTTGTAGCATTGCTAGCAATGTTGTTACATAAATTTCCTCTCAGTGTAAACACGAAAGAAAAAAACAACCCTGAAAAGAAGATTCTGGATTATAGACTGTGATCAGCAGAAAGATTTGGCACTGAGGAGCAAGTTTTGGGTTGCTTTCAACACATGAAGTAGGGTAGCTTACAACATACTGATCTATCTCAAAATTCTTGACGGCATCATACACTGTTAGAACTGCAGAACTGTTATCTCAGGACTGCCGAGGTCACAACCTATGCTTTTGAGAAGATGTTTATCTCGCACACATTTCCAGAGTCCCAGGGTTCCTGGCATTTTGCAATCTATGAATGGAATGATTCTGTGATTGACCTCTGACTCTTTATGAACACTGTATCAGAGCTGCCAATTTAAAGGTGTTCTCAAAATAGGCTCCCATTTTTTCATGCAGTGTGGTATATTTCAATGATCGCAGTATCTTGGCATCCATCAGATCGTCCCCTGCAGTTGCTTTAACATTATTTATAAGAAATGGTACAATAAGTACCTGAATAGACACTGGGAGACTGGCAGCATTGGTAATCATGAACATTAAACACTTACTATGTGAGATACCAAAATGCTTCTCTAGCAGCTAACATGTGACATTTTTGAAATTATTTTGTTAGCAGAGCAGGGCCTTAGGCAGTACAAGAAATAAATAAAACAGTGCAGTTTGTATTTTTTTTTTGATGGAATTGTCTTTGTCATATTTAAGAGCATGAAGTTAAATGCTTCTCTATTTATCAGAGACTAAACCAGCTTCATACCACTGGTTTGACTTGAAACTTTAACTCCTCACATTGGTGACTACCCCATTCCTCAATTCAGAAAATGTTCAGGCAATCTCCACTGACGCGGAGGTATATGGGGGTGTCCATCCCACAGAAAGAAAACTTCTACTTCTGAAATTCTGCTACTAAATCTTGAGGTCCCTTGTCAGCTCAGAGCTAGGTTTGAGCTACTTCTATTGAGGATGCAAAAAGGGCACCTATCCAGAACTTGCCACTTTTGCAATTGTAATGGAAGGTGCCAGATGGAAGTATACACTCATAGGGAAGGGCAAGTTCCAAATATAAGTAGGACTAATCACATGGGGTTAACATGATGAATTGGACAGGAGAAAGCATTTCAAGTTTCATGAGTCCTACTTTGATGTGACAACGGGGAACTGGAAATTCAAATTGCCACAGCCTGCATCAGAAAAATTAAGAATATTGATCTTCTCTGTAATTAAATTGCAGAAGTGTGATTCATCAGTCCAGAAGAATTGCTAGCTGAAAAGTTTGGGAGTTACTTCACTAGAAATAGCTCCTTATTCTGTATAAATCAATTTTTCATTCTCCCACTCTTTTCCCTAAGATCCCCTTATTCGAGGGTTGCAGAAAGAGAACACTGATGATCTACAGAAAGGATGTATTAATACTTCTCACCTAAATTTTCATGCATGTTTGTGCTGATCCCTGTGACAGCTGGCTAGCTCATCTGGTTGGCAGCAGTAATACTGACTCTCAGATGAAGCTTGCTTGTGCTGGGTACCACCAAAAGTTGAGCATCCTAATGGAGGCCACATTCAGAGAGAGAATTCAGCTACCCACACACAGACCACAGCAGCATTTGAGGAACTCTCATGTAGCGAAGGCCTGTGATCCACGTGACACAGTGCTGGTGAGAGACCACAACTGTCTACAGCAGCAACAGTAAGGCAGACACACTGGTGCTTACTTTTAACAAGCTGTCCAGTGTCCCTGGAAAGCCTGCTAGGGATGTTATTTCTATAATATTTCCTAGGAGAGAGGCCACTCACCGTGAGCCCTCTTCCTAGTTCATGCATTGAATATCCTTAGTCACTTCGGCAGTGTTCAAGCCTGTGGGCCCAAAGACAGACGCTAAAATCCACCTGAGGATGTACGGAGCAATTCCAAGTCTTCATTTCAGAGTATCTGTCACCCTGCCTCTTCCATTAATGTTTGTGATCATGTACTTGTCAACAAGGTGGATGGTCTTGCAAACATCTTCCTATTATACTGTTTTCCTTCGATCTTTCTCCCAAAGTTCTCCTTTGCTGTGCAATCCTTCAAATGCCAGAGAGGATGCTTTAGGTCTCATGTCCACAATAACTCAGTAGCCTTGCAGACAGCCCTAAGGTAGGTATCTACCCCTGAGCTAGTTAACACCACCTCTTTTAATAACCTATGAAGAGGTAGTTTTACTATATAGTTCCTCCTTTCTATAGAGATGCTTACTTCAGCAAGAGATGGCTCTCCCCACTTTGAAGTGCCTCTTTATCTGATTTGTATAGATGGACCTGTTGGGAGGGCATACATTAAAGGGCTGTGTTATAAGGTTGTGTTTAGTTGTCTAAGCATAGTCACTGAGAGCCATTTTTGGTGCCATGGTGTATCTTGCTACATTAGCTACCTAGGAGTGAAGTGACTTGGCCTTGGCTATAAAGTGATTCCATCACACAGTAAAAGTACAAATAGTTGAGCTGGATTGGCATGATTTCATTTTAGATTACTTCTAGACAACTGGTTATCCCAGGTTCTACTCACATTCAGAGGAAAGAAACAGGTACCTTTCAACAGTGGTTCACGTGACATATTTTAAATGAGTAGTTTTGGACAAACAGTGCTTGGACTTGAACCAGCTGTCCAGAGAAATCATCCAGTGATCTTCAACTTGTCCAGGGGTATCCCATCTGAGCTTCAACTGAATGAGTGTGGCTATATCTACTGAGGATCTGTGATATTATATGAAACATAGTTCTAGTGACTATCAGATTGATTCTGATTTACAAGCAAAGAAGATGAAGCCTCTGGTGTTCATTGCTGATGTATATATGTATAGTAGTGTTTCAAAGTAAGAAAGATATTACTACTGCAAAGTGAGTGTTCCTAGGAAAGAGATACTGTGCTGCATCTAGCAAAGTAGACAATTATTTGTCAAGGACTTTCTTGTTACTATTGGAGCTCCGTGTCAACAAATTAATATCTCTCAGAACTATACAGCTCTAACAAAACCCACACATCAGTTCCAGAAATGGAGGCTGATGAATGGACATTTAAGAGAAGTAATGATGGCAGGCAGTGCATCCTTTTTATTTATCTTTAATCTCATTTGATGTTTTTATTCATTTTTGTTTCTACCCATTTTCTGCTTCATAATGCACAATAGAACTAACGATTTCTCCCTTTATATTTATTGAGAGATAAAATGAATCTAAAGGTGAGGTCTTGAAGCAGAATAAACTAGCTTATTTCTTATTCTCTTACTTTTATTTATGGTGTGCTAAGAATATCCTTACTGCTGGAACAAAACTCTCTCCAACTACAGATGAGAAAGAAGCGGTTTTCCTATCTTGCCAGGGCTTTGGAAGTTTAGTGTTTCCATTTCTAAATTGAGATTAAAATTCAGAGCCCCAGAATGGAGCTATAAACCAGTGCTCCAAAAAGCATTTGAACCATCTGTTTTGGCACTGATCAATTATAATCTGAACATACAAACCCAGAAGCTCTTTTGAACCAAAAGAAACTTTTCAGTGAAAGTTTTAGGTCATAAAAATTTTCTGTCATAAAATCCAAACTCCACTTGAGAGGAAATTTATCTCCCTTAGAGAGATGAAATAGCTAAAGTATTCCAAGATGTGTAAAAGGGGGAACGCTGACTGTGAAGTCTTTATGGTTTTCCTTAAGCTCAGGAATTTAAATGGGGAGTAATTAAGCTCTTCTCTGCTTTTGAGAGTTTAATGGGCAATTAGCATTTATTTTGCACATTTCTGCTGGGTTTTCTACTTTATGCTTCAACAGAAAGCTTGTACTTCTGTGCTTCCTAGAATGTTTGCTCCTCTTTACTCCCAGGAAATGTAAATATTATTCTATTTAGACTTCGCATTTTTATGCAATGTGATAAAATCTACCCCAAGATTAAGTAATCCAAATTGGCATCAGAGCAGTCATTTTAGCTGGAGCATTATATACTGTCACCCTGACCTCAAATGAATAGTCTGCCAGTTTATTAATGCATTGTTTTATTTTTCTATCATACTGTCCTGACGTACACTCAAACAGGGCCTTGTATCACAAAATTTTTCCTTTCACAGGTTACAGGCACCACAGTGACTCATTTTGGCATAGAGCGAAGTGCTGGAAAATATGATCTGATCAGGAATAATGAGATGTGATTAAGAAGAGTGAGACATAGTGTGGTGGATGGTCATGATCAGGGAGACTGTGGAAGGGACTCCCCAGCACAGCAGAGAAAGACTAAGGCTTCCGGCAAGCAGAGCAGGTCTATTCACATCCTGAAGATTGCATGGGATGGTGTCGTGTTTTGGTGGGGAAGGGAGAGAGTGGTAAGTGAACACCTTCCTTACCTATTGTCTGTGTTACACACCAGCACACAGGCCCTTCTTTGCCCACACTGTCACCTAAACTCAAGTCCAAACACAACTCCAGTCCTAGATGGGATCACACCATTTCCTCACTAGAACCCTCCATCATGTCCTCAGCCTCTTTTCCAGTCTTATAACCCCCCTCTTACTACTGTGCTGGACCTTCTGTCTCTCCTGAAACATCCAGTATTCAAAAAGCTTTGTTAAAGAAACACACTGCAGGTAACTCCCCAGTCAGATTAACTACCATGGGATCTCTAGTCACATGTGACTGAACAGGGCCTCTCTCCAATTATTTCAGCTGAAGCCAGGAACATGTTGAACATTGCAACACCAGTAAACACACCCTTGGAAAAATGACAATGGCACACAGAAAGTTCTTGCTTTGAGAGAGGAATGGCCCCTCAACAACCAACTCATCCACCACTCAACCAGCGCACTGAAAATTACCAAGATGACATGAGACCCTAAAACATGGGCATGCTGCTGTGAATAGTCCACCTGGCAGTTCCCCAGGCAGAGCAGGTTCAAGTTGTCAAGAACTAAGATGATTCAAGAAAGGAAACAAAAAAATTTGGAATTGCTGAGAAAGAAAAAGAAAATAAAACAGAGAACAGGATGCTGCTATAAAAATTGATTTGTGTGGTCACACCTTGAGTAGTGGGGCAAGTTTTGATCTTGCCACTGCAAAAATGGTATGATTAGCACATCATAAAGACCACTTTGGTACATGTCAGCTGTCTCCTGAGAAAAATTCCACATTGAAACAAGGCTAAACCCATATCTTAAGGACACTTAACTCTTCTACAGCACTTGTCATCCAAGGATCTCAAAGCATTTTACAAAGGAAAATAAGTATCATTAAGCTTGCTTTGTAGCTGGGGAAACTGAGACCTAGAACAGCAATCTACCTTGTTCAAAAGTAAACAGCTGATGAAGGCAAGAGATAGAAGTGATCTCCAGGTCTTCCTATCAACTTATATACCCACTTACTCCAGCAGTTAATTGGTTGTGGTGATTTTCAATGAGACCCAAAAAGAGGTTAGAAAACTATTCAGTTCTCACACAAAAGGGAAAGAAAATCTACTAAAACTGGAAGAAAGGTTTGAAAACCACCAAAATATTTGATCTGCCTGTTTGAAAAACTGAAATTTTAATTCAGTTTTAGCTCTGTGAAATCTTGCAGAGCAGTCCAATTCACAACAGTAGTTACTGAGAAAAAAAGCAGCTGCCTCTGGTGCCTATTGGTGCCTCTGAGGTTTGTCTTCTGATTTTGCTGTGTTTTAATGCTTCACCAGTGCTTTAACAGAGATTATATTTAAAACTGCACATAAGAAATGTATTTTTTCTTAATAAAATCAGGCTGAAATTCAGTTCTCTGGCATGTATTTCCAACCTTCTGCCCCTTCTTTACCTTCAGAGAGGTATGTATGATTAAAACTTGGTTATGCCACTCTGAGGAAAGACACCAGAATTAAAAAAAACCAATAGTTTCAAGAGCAGATACCTAGCAGAGTGTATTTTTATCGTGCTATTGAATTGCAAAACATCCAATGTACTGAATGGTTAGATCTCTCCTGGAATATGTTCAAGCCAAAATCCATTCGGCAATGAAGCAAAGAAGGATGATTACCTACATTTTCTCCCTCACATTCCTTGTCAATGTACAAGTTTTTTACTCAATGCTCAGGATCAGCATATCGGCATTTATACTCAGCTTCCTTTGCCTCTGAAATTGTCTCAGAAATTGTTTCTTATTTTCAGCCCAAGTCAACATTCAGGTTTGTTCTAAAGACAAGCAGGAAAGCAATCAAAGAAATCTCTCTACTGCATTGTTCAAAGTTTTTGTTCCCTGAGATATAACAGAGAATAATATGATTTAAAGATGGACTTGAGGACTACTACCATGATCAAAGGGCTTATTTTGGGCCAATCTTTTTTCCCAGTGAGGCTTAGGACTCCTGCATGACCTTAGAACTCCTGGTGTTATGCTGTCTTGTGCTGCAGCAGTTCAATGCATAGAGGCAATAAAATGAGAAATCAAAACGAGTGGAAATAATTTTTGACAGACAAAATCCTCATATCTTTTAAAGAGACTCAGCATCTTTAGAAGCAGATTTTATCTCTCTGGAACTAAGAATTTTACCAACAAGAAGACTCTAATCATGTTGCCACTAGCTGGTACAATGATGCTCTCGAACACATAATGATGCTACCTTTGTCCAGCAAGTAACCAAAACTCAGCTGAGCTGTACACTGGGAACTTGGCTCTTAGTTAAGTAAAGTGGGTGAAACCTATTTTAACTGCCATGGGCTGAGTGGTCACATGTGGATAGGGACTGCAATTTGATGGAGTTTTTAGTGTGAACCCCCAGTACACAGGGATAGTTCTCTCACAGAACTGTTATGTTTTGTCTTTCATAAAACATGAACTTCAATTAAACATTCTGATTCTTCATCTGTTCAAATCCACCTCATTAGCTTTGACTGAAAGAGGTCACAGACATGAATGATTCGTGAAATCTTTGTGTGTTCCACTTCTGGTGACCATTGTTCACTGGAGGGAAGAGGAAAGCAGCATTTTGTCCCCATCTGTGTAAGGCAGAGGCATACTGACATACTGGGGGGTCGATGTTTGACTGTGTTGCCTGGACTACATGTCAGACCATCAAACTTCAGTGCTCTTAATCCAGCATTTCTAATGGCACCCTTGAAAGGGTCAGTAACTCCTATAATACTAAGTGATGCTTGAGTTATTACATACGATTTGATTTTATTCACGTAAGGATAAAAAAATGACCTTGTCAAGTTGCTTTAACACACTGTGGAGTTATATATTTTAATTATAAACACAAGACTCAACTGCCAGTTCAGGAAAAAAAAAGGGGAGGGGAGGGGAGCACACTGTAGCAATCAGGAGTGTATTGTAAGAGGAATTTTCAGATTTGCCTTTTAGATTATATTTCCAGAAAGCTCTTGTCTCCCAGAAGTGCTTTCTGATGGGAGTAACCATAAGGTGAGGGAAGGAAGGGCTTGCCCTTATGTTACTTCTAAAAATTGTATCAGCTGCTTTCCACCCCACAATGCAATTACTGTTGTCATCTCATTAGTGTTTTAATTAGAAGTCAAGTGCAGGCCAATGTAGAAAGGTTCAATACATAATGTCAGTTCAGGGCAGCAAAGTTACTGGGTCAGGTTAGAGGGGTTTCAAGGCTGCTCTAAATTAGAGGTAGATATAATGACCTGCATATAAAGAGGCAGCCTCCAACTGTACCTCCATTTTCTGTGCCTTTTTGGCGTCTATAGATGTAAAGAGCAGTTCTTGGGAGAACAAAGCTATTTTCAGGACTCTAAGCTATCTGTGGTATCTGCCAGAGATGCTATTCAGGGATTTTACAGATCTCGTTGACTAAAGGTGTTATGATAGATTCACAGACTTCTAGGCAATGATTTGAAACCTAAATGCTCCAGGTATTTCAAGCCTGCTGCCTTGTGTTGTCTAAATAGGATTTGTTTGTGAGTTAGTCTCTATCTCAGTGAGTCAGTTTACTGTGAGGCTGTTTGTGGGTCTTTATTTATTTATTTGTTTGTGTATTTATTTATTTCTATTATTGTGCACACCAATTGTATTTCTCTCCTTAGAAAATAATAAAAAAAGAGTTTTTAGATAAAACCAGGCTCCTACTACATTTTTTCCCTTTTCAGCTACTCACAATATTACCTGTTCACTGCATTTTAATGATCAACACAGAAATTAACTCATGATTTCAGGTCAGGAAACTTTCAGATTAGTAGCTGGCTTCCTAGGCAACAGAGGAGGTTTTTTCATGCTGAATCACATGAAAGGCACAGCATTGACTAGGTGAGAGCACAAGGCCTTGAAAAAGCTGGCAGTGGCTGCCTATTCTGGAGCATTTGAGTGCTGGGGTGGCATAAGAGAGCTATACCAAGTCTTAGTTGCTCTCTTAGTTCCCTAAAAGAGGGGACCCCAATGAGCCTTGTGAATTCTCTGTTAGGACATTTGCCTTCTTTCTAGGTGGCTTTTACTGCAAAGGAGTGGAAGAGTAGAATAAGGATTTTTAGCATTGTCCTTTCTAACAGCATTGATCTTTTTCATCCACACCCAGTATTTTCTGGGAAAGCATCACTGTGCTTTAGTTGATGGTTCAAAATGGTTTATGAATAGTTTCCTTCTTCCTCTGCCTACTCTTTGTTGGCACAGGAGACAGTGTCGGGTAAACAGATAAACAGCATGTTAACTGTAGGCGGCACTGAAAAGGAAACTTAACAACAGGAAAACTAATAAACAAATACACAGCAATGATGGGGATGTAGAAGATCTAGACAACTGTACAAGGATATGCAATTCCTTACCATAATTACTACGTTTTTCTAATCAGTATGCATGACGGAATTGCCCTAGCTCTCAAGAGCTTCAAGAGGATGAGCAGATATTGTACATACCTTCCGGTTTGAACATTTTTCCTTCCCACATCTCAGAACATTGTACCAAGGAAGGCAAAGAGCATTACAGATGGGGAGGGAAAGAATGCCTTGAGGTCAAGGAAACAGTCAAAACCAGATCACTGCCACTCTGACTTGTAGTGTTAGCTGAAGTGGCGACTTCAGAGAACAGCTGAAGATGTTTGACCTTGTTTGTGTCTTATTTTACATAAAAGCAGACGCGGAACATCACAGATGCCTATCAAGTTACTCCTCAATGGAAGATGGCAGCGTCCTTCTACCCACATACAAGCTTACCAGAAGAACAAGAATCACTGGCCCTTGATATATGTAGTCGATATATTTCCCTGGTTCTTTTCCAAACCAGCATCTGAAATGAAAAAAAACCCAAAAACAAACAAGTAAGAAAATAATTTATAAAGCGAAATGCACTTCTTTTAGATTGTAATATCAAGGACACTGTAGAGAGATATTCCCTTATTTCCCTAGTTATTTAGTCATATACACAATCAGCAAGTGACTGAGTTTTCTGCTACAAAGCCACCTTTAGTCTGGATATAGACCTGAGCCTGATTTTCCCCTCCCATTAGACCATTCTTGCTCCTGCTATGTTTTTTGCTATTGCCCATGTAAATATTTCCAAGAAATGTGAGAACCTGCTATAAGAAAGATGCGGAAGATGTGTCCTGCTGGGTCGGAAAAAGGGATGACAAAAATATTCTGTATAAGGAAAAAAAAATACCTATTATCTATTGCGGTGCCCAGAGACACTTAAATTCTACAAAGTAAGGGCTGTTACCTACAGAAAATATGTCTTAAGTTGCATGGAAATGCTGTCTAAATAAGGTACTGGCTTGGCTTTGAACCAAGCTGGTGACTACCAAACCCAGCATATAGTACAGAGACAACATCTGAAGCTAGCAAATGCCAGATGCAACATCACCAAAGGGAAATCAACTCAGGTGAAGTGAAACCACAGGTAAAATGAAGGTCCTCAAGCTAGCAGGGAGCCTGGATGTGTCATGAGTAACAGTGCTTTTTTGGCTTTCACTTCCACTAATGACAAGTGTTTTTTCCCAGATGTGTTATACTACAGACTAAACCTGTGATTTTGCAGCAACCCATACTGATGTTCACTTCATTCTCTTAACTGAGAGTAATAAATCAGTTATATTTATGTCAGTAAATTAATCAGAAACTGGGCTCAGGTCTGAACTCAATCATTTAAACTATTACATTTTTCCTTGGTGCAGTTTTGGCCCAGGCCAAACAATAGCCAACTCCAAAACTATTCCTGAAGAACAAATCTGGAGCTAGCATGAGCCAGAGGACATTCCCAGTGTACAGCTACTCTGATTTGGAGGCCAAGAGGGTTTAACAATATGGATGGAACTACTCCATGTTATTTGGACTCCAGCCCCAGTAATGATTCCGGGCCCAGTTAATTGAATATCATAGACACAGCCACATGGCCTGGATCCTGGTTCCACCAAGTAGATACAATTTTGCTATCATAACGCCTTAAGGTTTAGGTCATTGAGCTGCAGATCCCATAGGAAGTGGAATTTGGAGTTCAAGGGTCTGAGAGTTTTATTGCCTCTTGTGGATACCACATAACAAGTCTACACAGGAAAAATTATGCCTTCCCTGTGTTCACCTTGTGAAAAAAGACAAGCATAGTGACATTGGAAACATGAAAACAAGGGTAATTCCTGCACCAAGGAGACCATGGAGACAGGTACAGATTTGACCTTTTACAAGCATGCATGAAATAATACTTGTTGCCTCAAAGAGGTTGCAGTCTGTAAGACATGACTACATGAGTTCAAGGCAAATAAACTGAGATAAGGAAAGCTATGGTTCATGTGGAATTCTTTTGAACCACATAATGCCCCCAAAGCCTTTCTCCAAAATGTGTTGCTTGCTAAAACAGAAGAAGAAGCTGTTTGCCCATTGCAAAATGCTCTTACTAAACTGACTATATGGAAATGTTGAGATAAGTAGCATGCATCTAGGAACACAACTCAGTATCACACAGTTGTTTGCCTTTTCTTTATTCAATTTCTACATCTTTTAAATTCCAAATGAATGAGAGAGTTTTGAATATTTTATAAGTACAGACATGTCTGTATTCCCTCGTGCACTGACTGCAAATTAGTGTAAATTGGTAATTTTGCAAGTAGTCTTCCAAAATTTCATGATGAGAGAAAGATGGAATAAAGTACTTCCTCCAGCCAAGTTATCATCCAAGAAGAATCCCAAGGGCAGCCTTAAATGAATGAAACTGACTTTTTGGGTTTTTTTGTTAACGCTGATGGAAAGATACGAAGATGAATGAATTACAAGATGTGCCAAGGCAGGAAATGCAACTCTCCAGAATTTGCAGGATGTACATTTGAGAGAGGTTTTTGAAGGGCATTTTGGGAGAACTATTATATAGTGCCTGAAATGCAGAGAACCAAGAGCTATTAGAATAGAAGTTTCTGGAAAGCTGGCTGTTCTAGCAGTGGAATCTATCAGAGGCACTAATAAGAAGCAGACTGAGGTATGTGGCAGAATTAGTGGCCTAGAAAAAGTCAGCATAGAATTTGGAACTGAGCTGGGAGAGCACAAGTGATGTTCCAGGGCAAAGGATGCTCATTGTTCTTTGGAATTTAAATATTGCTTAACCGTAAGACAATATTGAAGAGCAAAATGCTGACATTTATTATCTGATACCCAGTATTAGATCAAGGTTGCATTGAGTGAAGCACCATGTGTACAAAGACATAATGTGAAGCAACAAGGTTGTGGCCAAAGGTAGACTTCTACAACAGAGAAGAGATTCAAAGCAGCCCTGCGGAGAAGGACTTGGGGGTGGCGGTTGATGAGAAACTCGACATGAGCAGGCAGTGTGCGCTTGCAGCCCAGAAAGCCAACTGTATCCTGGGCTGCATCAAAAGAAGCATGACCAGCAGGTCGAAGGAGGTGATCCTGCCCCTCTACTCTGCTCTCGTGAGACCTCACTTGGAGTATTGTGTCCAGTTCTGGTGTCCTCAACATAAAAAGGACGTGGAGCTGTTGGAGCAAGTCCAGAGGAGGCCACGAGGATGATACGAGGACCGGAGCACCTCCCGTATGAAGACAGGCTGAGAAAGTTGGGGCTGTTCAGCCTGGAAAAGAGAAGGCTGTGTGGAGACCTCATAGCAGCCTTCCAATATCTGAAGGGGGCCTACAAGGATGTTGGGGAGGGACTCTTCGTTAGGGACTCTAGTGGTAGGACAAGGGGTAATGGGTTTAAACTTAAACAGAGGAAGTTTAGATTGGATATAAGGAAGAAGTTCTTCACAGTGAGGGTGGTGAGGCAGTGGAATGGGTTGCCCAAGGAAGTTGTGAATGCTCCATCCCCGGCAGTGCTTGAGGCCAGGCTGGACAGAGCCTTGGGCGACGTAGTTTAGTGTGTGGTGTCCCTGCTCATGGCAGGGGGGGTGGAACTAGATGATCTTAAGGTCCTTTCCAACCCTAACTATTCTATGATTCTATGATTCTATGACAGTTATCTACTGAGGACCTTGATGCTCCAGATTCCTTTTGTAGTTGGTGGAGAAAAAAAGGCAGCTTTTCTAGGACTGTGTTCATGTCATTAGGCTATAAAACAGATCTGTTACATTGTAATCTAACATTTCTAATATACCTGTTAAATCAGGTAAGGGTCAGAGGACCGATATTTGCCACTGACATTACAGATGTCTGCATTTGATTAGCTGTATCCCGTATTTACAAGTCTTAACTGTTCAAACTGGGACCTTAGTTGAGATACTGCAAAATTTTCTGCCTGTCATCTTAACTCATACTTTAAATCCAACAGAAGACATAATTTCTGCAATGAAATCAGCCCTGCACATTTCTTTAAAACCAAAACTTACTGAAAATTACATATTGAATCAGAATTTTAATTCAACCTATGCAAAATAAATGCTTTTTTTTCCCCCCCTCTTTTTTACCTCTGAAAGAGTAAACAAACATTCCTTGAATATTGAAGAGGATAATTAGGAAGACAGTTCTGATTAGATTTATATAGGTAAACACACTCCTACTGAATAGCATTAATTAATATTCTTCATGGTTCTCAGATACTTCTTTATATAAAACCATCACTGGTTTTATCATTACTGTTAATTAGATCTTACTAACGTTCTTCCCCTTACCAACTGGCCGTCAATGAAATTACTACAGTAATTCTTAACAATTTGTGTGTGTTTTTAATTGAGATTTAACAGTATTGTTTTTTCAGAGTTGTCAGGTTTTGCTAAAGAGCTGCAAAACCCTAGAGGGGATATTTGCCATAGTACTGACTGTATTTGCCTCACTATGCAGAACATGGTCTCTAGTAAGGACAAAAATGAAAAATATTAAGAAGCTGGTTGAAGCATTTTCTAAACATTATTCCTGTGTACTATTTTGAGGTTTTCAACTACTATAACTAGAACCCCAGTCCAACCTCCAAACAAGTTGCACTTGAAATGCATACTCAGATGAAGGAGTTTCCCATTTTGTCCTGAATTTTGGGCTGCCCACTGGGATATCCAAACAGTCTTGGAAGCTGCAAGAGAGTGTATGTTTTCTGTATGTGTCCAGTTTGCTAGGTCTAACCTCATGATTAGACGCATGATTTCCACAGTGGTCAAGATAAATGGAGCATAAAGATAGGCTGCCTGGGGAGAGCAGCATGTTTTCACAGAACAGCTGAGGGTGGCAGGACCTCTGGAGATTGCCTAGTCCACCCCCTTGCTCCAAGAGTCAGCTGAAGCAGGTTGCTCAGAGCTGTGTAGGGTTGGCTTTGGAGTAGTTCCGAGGATAAAGACCCCACAAGTTCCCTGGGAAACCTCTTTCCTTGTTCTACCACCCTCACCGTAAAAAGGCGTTTCTTGATGTTCAGATGGAATTTCAAGTGTTTCAGTTTGTGCCACCACCTCTTTGTCCTGTCACTGGGCACCACTGAGAAGAGTTTGGCTTCTTCATACCCTCTTCAGACCCTCCTGTAAGTTATTTATAGAATTGATAAGACTACCTTTGAGCCTTCTCCTCTCCAGCCTGAACACTCTCAACCCTCTCAGCCTCTCCTCACATGAGAGATTCTCCAGTTTCCTGAGCTATTACTTCTTAAAGCCAGGGCTCAGTTTTCTCTCATTTGTCTATATTTGCACACTGTTAGAGAATTCAAATTAAAAGCATGATTTCTACATCATCCCAGCACAGAGAAAGGGTTTTGTAAATGCCCCAAACTATAGTCTAAACTGTCCCAATGGCTGATGGACTGAAGAGGAGAACAGACTTTTAGGTAAGTTAAATACACACAAGTGAACACCTCACACACATGTACCAGAGTTGTGTTCCTACATGTGCTTCAGTTTGACCGTTTAGCAGAATCTGTTCCTTTCCTCAGGCTAGGAGGCAGTGAGCAGGGGATCTCTCAATTATCACGTGCTCTAATGCTCAAGATGACTGAATGACAATTGACAGGCCCTCAACAAGTTATTAATTTCTTGGTTTGCTTCGGTTCATTTACTTTACTGAATCTCCCCTGCATATGATATTACTACAAATGTGAAAAGCAGAATTCATTTAATAGCCTTTGCCTAACAGCTTAATGCCCTTATCAGCTCTTCATTTAAAAGAGCTCTGTGTGTCTGTCTAGGTGCATATGCTAGATCAAAGGAATGACACTAGTGAAGCCAAAAAGACTTTCTCAATGAGCAATACATTTAGAGCAGCTATGATATGCAGTGAGGATGTGTGTGAAGATTTCACTCCAAAGCAGATGTCAGCATTAAAGACAGAAAGGTGAAAACATCCCAAGACATCAGGTGTAATTGTCTGAATCTACCAAGAGTAACGTGGCACCTCCCTTATCAGTAAGCATGAGGCAAACAACGTGTATGAATTGAGAGTGCATGGGTTTGTCTATGACATGGATTTGAAAGCACAAGCTCCATTTTATAATTCACTCAAGGAGAAGTGCTTCAGCCTAGAAATTCAACATGAACAGCCTAGATATTCTGCATACCAAATAGGACAATTGTGTCTTTCTTGCCCTGATGACTGTATTTTGTATCCCCCTTTTGTTGTGCAGGGCCTGGGCCAGCTACACCTTTGCTGGTGAGAGGCAGCACATGTACCTATATAAACATATCATGTCTTTCTTCATATCTATGATACATCAAGGTGAGATCCCTTCACATTCACTCTGCAGGTATACAAAGACGGTGAAAGAAGGCACTGGTACAGATGCTGTAATAGCTTCTCCATCTGGCCATCTTATGCGCAGTGTGGTCACAGATGCTGTGGCATATTTCTGTCAGGGGTACTACTTTCCATTATTTCTTTTAGGACTGATGAGCAGTCTTCCAAAATCAGGTGTCCAAACTCTGGTGCTCAACTCATTCATAACGGGAATGTTTAATGTGCATTGCCATTATTAAAGCATGTGGTGTTTTGCCTCTCCAGTTTTCAAGACACAAGTTTTAATTATTTTGGTTTGTGCTGTTTAAGCTAATTCAGCTTTAAACAGCTCTAGCTCTTGAGTTCTGAAGCCTTTCTTCAGCACAATGAGACAGCTGCCATGCTGCCCTGGCTTGTGCAAGGTAAAAACTAGATGGAAACTGACCATGAAGCAGACCCATAATATTGTGATCCTTTACCCATCCAGAAACAAGAAGGTCTGTGAGCTCAGAAATCAGGGAAATCTGGTGATCTGGTGAGGCCAAGTCAATCTCCCAGGCCTGATTGACTTGGACACCCATGGAACAAGTTCCAACTGAAGTTTTCCTGGACATTTTGAAACTATGGTATGAATTCTCCTGCATGATTACTGTAGCAAGGGATGGAATCATGCAAAACTTTTCCCTCAGTAAAGGGGAGCCTCTCTGATTACCAATATGAATAACGCCTGGGAATTAGATTTTCACCTTCAAAGTACCATTAAAGCTACAAAAGAGAGATGGTCAAGGGTTCAAAAGTTTGTGGGGATCAGAGAAGAGGAATTTAGTAGTTCAGAATAAAATTCCTCTCATGCCTGTAGTACAGATGCCCAAAGCTCAGCCTGTCACCCTATCCATCTCCCTTATAGTCATGAGAAATAGTGCATGTAAGTCCAATCCATCAAACCTACTTTGGACACCTCCTTCCAGATGAGATGAAATTCACCTCAAACTGCATTTACTGTTTTGACTGACCATCATTGATTATAAGACACAGCAGACTAGTGGAGATGCAGACACCTACAAGGTAGATGCTTACATTTAATCAGATGTGCTATAGACAGACAAACAGTGTGGTCATTTGTAAAACAGGTTCACAGAGAAAAGGTTGGGTTTTTTTAAGATTAGAGAAGGGAGCTGTAACAGACAACAGACATTGATCCAAACACTAACTATTGAAAAGTAGCTGAGCTTATACATCAAAACTACATCTGACCAGTATCGATATTTAAGGGAAACACTCCCAAAACACAGATGCCTGTTTATCTCCCATATTTTTCAATGTCATGCACTAACTGCTTCCAATTGGAAAAGCCAGAAACAGAAACATGAAAATTCCAGCCATAAGATTATTCTTGGCAGACAGTCAACTAAATTCTATACACCCAGACGGCTGAATGCTTAAGCACTCAACTGTAGTTTTTATCAAGGTCTTATTCAAGAAAAATTCCCATTGAAGGAGATTACTCTCACTGTAAATCATATGATATGAAATGATAGCTTCAAGGCTTGGATAAGGATATTTGGGAAAGGTATTTTCAGGAGTTGACTCAAGCAGTGCTTTGAAATTTGAGAGGGTCTGGGCTTGAATGGAGGTGATTTGACCTTTCCTCTTTCCTATCAATCAGCCTCATTTCTAAATTACCAGTTCAGCCTGTAGGCATTCTTTAATTTATTTAGAGAGGCACATAAACACAAATGTTAACATCACTTACTGTTCATTTTCATAATATAGCTTGCCAATGGCCCAGGCAATGATGATTGGGCAAGGAATACCTGTGGGAGCAAAAAATCAGGAGTTAATCATGTGCATATGGATGTATGGATGTATGGTACCAACGTAGTTTCAGATTTCTGTGAGGATTGTTTTGGTTAATGCACTTGAAGACTCTAAATGCAAGTGATCATATCTTGGCATCCTTGAGACATCACAATTGCTAAGACCTCTTATAAATAAAAACATCTAGTAGCAGTAAGAACAGTTAATAAAAATACTAACAAGCACACATGTATACCTATGTCAGATATCAGAATAATTCTGGCTGACTTTAAGGCAACTGTGATCCCTTTCGTTTTCTTGCAGTTGATATAGCAAAACCTTAAAGACAGTACTTTGAGGTGAGTGGTTAGGTATTTATTTCCCAGGCTGCAAGAAGCTTGTAAACTCATTTGGATCTCTGCATGAAGTACATTTGCAAAATTTTCAACATTTTTTTGAGTTGAGTCTTCCCTATGAAGCAGGATTTGAGAATAACGATGGCTAAAGGATTGTGTATGAGAAGGCAAAGCAGAGCCAAAAAGCACCCAAAAAGGTGAGAGGAAAGGTATATTCAGCTCACACCATTCCTACATTAGCAATCAGAAACCCAGGGGGTCTGTGAGTGCTATGTGAACAGCAGTTTTGGGTTTGGTGAAAGAATTGAAAAATACTGGGGAAAAAAATTTAATCAATTCCACTCATAAACATTTTCTTTCTACTACAACTCCTCTTTCCTCCTATTTGATTCTGGATTGAACAACATACTTTGTTTTAAAATTATTTCTGCCTTCAGAACTCCAATTCAATTACTTCTGCTCAGCTCTGAGAGGAGGCATTTCTGAAAAAAAAATGGCATTCTGTTTTCAGAAAAGAAAATATTTCTGACTTTTTTCCATGTTTCTTCTTTCAACAGAAAAGAACTGCCAAACTCACTAGTTCTGTTTGACCTCAGATTTTGCGTTCAAGCGAAAAAGCTGCCCGCCCAGGGCTTGTCTTGCAAAACTTCTCCTGGCCAAGTTCAAAACATGGACATGTTGTTTGGAAAGATCTCTGAATGAATTCACTCCAATCTCCTGCTCAATGGAGAACTATCAAGACCAGCCCACCTCAGCCAGGGCTTAGCCTTGCTGAATTTTCAATACGTCCAGGGTCAGAGATTCCACAGCTCGTAAGTCATCTGTTCCAGTGTTGTACTAGCTTTTGGTAAATTTTCTATTTCCTTAACATCCAAATGGAACCTCCCAGCCTGCAATTTGTGGCTATTGTCCCTTCTCATAACAGCTGCTATTACCAAGAAGAATTTGCCTCCATCATCTTGTAGTTATCTTTCAAATCATTCTTGGTACCTAGCAGATCCCTCCTTAACTTCCTCTTTGCCTCATTAAACAAGCTCAGCTCCTTCAGCCTCACTTCGCAGGTCATGTCCTCCAGATCCCTGATCACACTGACAGTCTTCTACTGGATGATCTCATTTTTCCACATCCCTTTTGACCTAAGACACCCAAACCTGGCCACAATATTCCAAAGGCAGCCTCACCAAACCTCAGTAGAAAGTAATTTCTCTCAATCTTCTGGTCACACTTGTAGTGCAGCCCAGTATGTGTTTTACTGCATTCATGATGAGAAGGCACTGATGACTTATACTCAGCCTGCATCTACTGCAAGCCCTACATCTTTTTCACCAGGACAGCAGGATGATGCAGGTTATGTTGATAAAGCTAGGGAAAAAGAGCTGCCTCTGCTCTGGCCCAGGCCAACACAGTAGAACTGAAGTAACAGGGCATGCAATGAGCTATTTTTCTGTCTTTGAGTAGCCACAAGGATTGTACAAAGATGACATGTGACTCTGTTAAAGGCTGTTTTCTAGGAACAAATCCCTCAGCAGTCCAAAAGACAGCTGTGAAGCTTGACTGGAACATAATTAGGCTTCTCTTCTAGTCAGCTCCTCACTTAGAAGTGTCTCTTGAGACTGAGTGGTCCACAGGGCACAGACAGTACTTCTGTCTCATGCTGTGCTGTGATCACTGCTTTGCTGATCAAAGTGAAAGGGACATGGATGAACTGTTGCATTCACAAAATGCTGAACCTCAGAACTCTCTTTCTTTCCTCAACACCAGATGCCTGAGGACATAAATGAAGAAGATAAATCCATCAATACTTATTAGCTTAGTGAAGAACTAAATCTGATCTCATGTTGTTCTGGCAAAATTAGGTCTGAATGTCAGATTTCACCACAGTGGGATGTTTAAAGTTTACTCTTGCTGCTCTTGTCTTTATTACTTTAATGCCAGGTACCATGTAACACCATTTTAAACACACAAGTCACTTACACCATCCTATGAAGAGAAAGACCCATTTCCGCAGCTTATCAGTGGAGTAAGTCATCACTATAGCAGTATGTAAATAGCAGCCTTCCACAAACATCCAGAAAAAGTTGGTCACCACAAAATAATTGTAGACAGTGGTAATACATCGACACCAGGGCTGGAAAGGAAACACAATAGAGTATTTTAAAATCATGGTGAGAACATTTAGAAGATTCTATATATTGCTGTTCCCTTAAAAATCAATGCTAGAATTAATTCACAGGGTGCAGATTTATACCTGTAATTTGGAATCACAGTATCTGTTGGGTGCTGTTGGGAACTCACAGCTATGTCTGTGACTTTGCTGAGGTTTGGCTTTGACCACAACATGCAGGATCTCCTGTACCTAAGCATGTCTGGAAAGTTAACGTGCCTTACGGCACATCCACACCAGAAGTCTGCAAGCAGTTTAAGAAGCAGCTTTTTAGAAAGAATACAGGAGGAGGCAGGCCATTTAACTACAGATGATCTTTCAGAGACGTGCAGCCATTGCCTAGGGTTGTATCCAGAGATGACATAAGAGTCTAAGCATACCTTAGGCAGTATAACCCACCTGTTGAGCAATTCAAAGAAAATATAAGATAGAAGTTAATGTTACAGTCTTCCTTCATTTCCACTGAAGGGAAGGAGCACCACTGACATTTAGAAAAAAGATATTTTAAGTTAAAGATTTGCTTTTATCAGCTGCTTCATTCCCTCTATTCCTGCCATTAGTGCTTCAGTCTGTGAGTCACATCACTACACACATCACCTCTGAATTTTGCTGTAACTTCAGAAGGAATATTTGGCGTGGCTCGATGTGTCAGTAAAGGCATTTTCTCCTAATGGCTGTGTGCAGTGAGAGCACAGCTGTGGAATACACAAATAGCTGTAGAGAGGCAGATGGTAACATCACACCAATAAATCACAAGTAACTGCTGGTGGTAATTTCCATCCTGCTACACACAGAAGTCTGGGGAAATTTATTTCTGACCAAGCAGGCATTCAGCATATTCCCTGAAGCATGACATTAATTACCTATGCTAGCTGGTATCATTGATGTCATTTTGGTCTCACCATTCTCCAGCCTTTTAATTAACTCTACTAAAGTATTTGAAACTTTTGACCCTCAGTTAATTTTATTTTGGACTTCATATACATGAAGTATTGATGATCTCTAGGCAGTCGACAAAGCAGCAGATGCACTATCAAACCCAGAACAACTCTGTGGACTAAGAATTTACTGGACAAGAAACACAGTTACAAATTGATAGCCCATTGACAAGTTGTGATCACTTCTTTTTATGGAGCTGAAATAAACAGAAGAAATCTTTTGGATGTGTTAAAGCTTTCATTTCTGTATTATTTCATTAAGATTTGAAATCTAGTTTGGCTTCATCTTTAAAATAGGATTTAAACAAAAAAACCTCCAAAGAAGATGTAATATTTGTTTTTCAACATTTTGTTTCAAACAAATTAAATTTTTCTTTTCTTTCTTTTTTTTTTTTTTTTTTTTGTTCTTTCAGCTCTGAGCAAAGGAAAGTAAAACCACAATCAAAAAACACCCCTATTTTTGGCTAACACCAAACAAATATTTTGACTCCATTCCTGATTGACTCCCAAACTGGTAAGACTAAGCTTCCAAAGACTCTAAATCTCAGGGTCGATTTTTTGAAGGTATGAGCATGAATTAAATCTATCCCTGCAGCCTCAGTCTCATGTTATAATGTCTAGACTCTTGTTCCCTTCTCGCCCTCATTTGCAACACACAGTTTTTGTCCTCTCCACAGCTGCCCATTTTCACAAGAATTGTAAAAATGAATTATATCTGAGCCTGTGGTTCCTATGTCAGAACTGAGTGGAACTGGACAGTCAATTTGGAAGTTACTGGGACAAATACAGGAAAATACACATAATGGTGGTGAGATCTCCCTCTGCATCGTTTCCATAGGAAACCAGAATAAAATAGATTTTGAGCAATTCCATTTGGAATTGTGAATTTATTATTACTGAAAAATAAACCAAATTAGCAGAACTCATTAATTTATACCTTTTCATTTATTTCACCAAGGATTCTTGATCCCCACATGTATCCAGCATTGCTCCAGATATCTTTAGCAATTCCGCTTCTTGATTTATTATCATAAGCACTGTAACTTCATGCAAAATGTTTCCACGTTGAGTCCTTGATGCTTCTGTAACTATATTATTTAATCTCCACTGATCAGCACACAAGAGATCACATCATTAGCTAGCATAAATGATGTTTCTCCCACAGATTTTGGTGGTGTTATTTTGATTCTGGCTTAAACCACAACAAGAACATAACAAATTTATCACAAAGCTTTTATAAAGCACCTTCCCAAAATGACTGCAGTGTTCTGCAGAGAAAAGATGTGTTAATGAAAACTGAGGCATGTGAAGATCTGTCCTTATATTTGCAGGTTTACATTTTTTTGGCACTTTGTGATCACGGCATTTGAGTGCCTGACTGTAACTGTGGGTTTTTTTCCTAAATAACTGTAAAAAATTGTATTAAGATTTGCAGTACTGTCATGAGAGTTAATCACACTGCATAACACTGTCAACAATAAAGCTCGTATACCACCATCTTCTGTGGTCTGAAAATGTCAGAAACACAGACAAAGCGAACAATGAATTAATAGAAGCTACATCTTCTCAAAGGAGCGTCTGATTGAATAATAATACAGAGTTATGCATAGACTTCTTTATCTGGGTACTAATGACTTTTCTATTTGTTTTCCTGAAGTGTGGGATTAAAGTTCAGATGTCAAAATTGAAAAATTAACCACGGATGACAAGCGCCCAGCTGACATTAAAATGAATGAATATCCAGGCTCCTGGGGTGGTTTTCAATTTCTGCAGGACCAGTTCCTACATGACTGGAGCCATGACCGATATCATCTACGGATCCAGCTCACAATCTCTAGGCAGTTTAATCCACCTGCTTTCCAAAGACAGAGAGCATGAAGCGGGGGGGGGTGTGCGTATGAGTGTGCATGTATGTTTGTAGTGCACTTTCTTCTTGATTATGAAGGTTATTATCAGGAGGTAGCCCTAAAAGGAGAATACTGCACTATAAGAACATTACAAGGGAAATAGAACAGTAAAAAAACCCTGCCAAGGGACTATCAAAAGAGACTACTTGCCAAGAAAATGTAGGTTTATTCCCTAAGAAAATAAAGAAAAAATGCTTTTTCTTTTGGAGTGGATGCTTTTAATCCACACCAAAATCCTTGTATTACTGGGGCTACTGGGAGACTAAACAGCGAAAGGTATTACAGTACTTGCACAGGGACTGATTCAATGTCCTTACTTAGACAAGCATTTGCAATTGGGAGTTACTTGACTGAGCAAGAAATAACACGGAGAGTAAGAGAAATGGGAGCATGGTGACACACTCAATTTCTCTAGAATGCTCAATGCCATACAAAATAGACACGCCGCTTCTTGCCCCCTTCAGCCTTCTCAGTTTTATTGAGTGGATCTGTCTGGTCCCTTGAACTGTCTCTGACTCTCTATCACGCATCAGACTGCTGACTTATATAGCTATGCAAGCAGAAAAGTCCTCCTTGCTTTTTTGGCAGCTAGGTTAGTTCTCCATCAGTTTAGTGAGTTCAGTCTCTAAGGATTCAGCCCCAAAGAGATGAATTAAAGGAACAGAGCTAATGCAAAAGAAGCTGCAGGAGCTGGAGTGAAGCATTTGGATCTCTGGAGGAACGAGCCATCCCTTTCAGCGACAGGGAGTTCCTGCTGGATGCAAGCCACATCACAGAACTTCATCCTCATGACCAGCACAAAAGCGAAGAAGGGATTAGCATAAAAATGGAATTTTGTAAAAAAACCCACCAAACCTTCAAAGATATAAACAAGCAAAAACTGGATTGTTTCAGGCTCTATTTCTTATTTTCTTGGCAGTCCCACTGACTCTAAGCAGTAGGGTGCCCACTGTCATTAGACAAAGTAGCTGACTCAGAGCCAGATCAATTATTTCTGATCATGGAGACATTGCCCTCTGGCATTAATGCTTCCCCCTACACAGGTGCACATCACTGCAAGATGCTCTGAAAAAAATGTTCAAGAAACACCAAATTTAGTGTCTTGGACAATACTGTGTCTTATAGTACATAAATTTGGAAACTATCTATTGTCAATAAAGGTAAGAGATACCACTTTGGGGAGGGATTTTTGTTTAAAAACCAACCAACCAACCAACCAACCTTTGATATTCAGTAATGAGGAAACAAATGAAAATTCAGTAAATCTAAGCCTAATTTTCTTCTTTTTTTTTTTAATATTACATGAAAGGCAGTCTGAGCATATTGATAGGTGTCCTTTGTAATATTTCTATCAGTTTAACACATTCAGCATCCCTGCCAGTTCCCAAACTACATGGCAGACATGCTACCTCCAAGCACTTACTTCATTGCTTTCATGTATGTTGTGATCTATCATTTGAAGCAGAAACCACATCACATTCCTCAGGATGAATGTGGTGATCAAGTTCCAGTGGATAATATTCCGCAGGCATCTGATACTCCTAAACAGGGAAATACATTTAAATCAACACATATAGTGAATATATACACGTACACATTAATGACTATATAAAATTAACAAGCTAATTCTGTTCACTTGCAAAATTTCTCATGGTTTATCCCCCTCCACAACTTCTCTTATGCTATGAGACAGAAGGTTCATTTGTCCAGTGGGTCATCAATAACGGTGTTTGAGGTTTTCTGCAGTTACAACTTTACCAGCAAGCATATCTGGGTCTGGTGCCATTCTCTGGTTCTCAGGATAAATTGCATAGCCAGTGCCAAAGCCAGAACTTGGATTTTGCAGTGTAGTCACAACACAAATAAACGACATAAATATAAAACAGCAACAGAAGAATGCCCAAATCTGTGCTGCTTCTCCTTGCTATATACCTTTCTTCCAGAAACCACAGCATAACTTTTGCAAAAAAGCCACGTACAACAATTTTTCTTGATAACATGAGGAGCTCCCATTGACAATAATCAATTCAATCAAGTGAAACAGGATCTACTGGAAAGACTCAAATATTCAAATGGTCATTTCATTCTTGGTTATCATTTTTGCTTCTCTCTGCTCCACCCCTAGAACAACTAGAACTGATAAGTCCCTAAACAACCAGACTGGAGTGGAGTCTGTTGCATTGTTAACAAAGGAGATTTGGAGAAAAATATCTGTACTGGAGTGCCAAAATGGAATAATTTACATTTGGACAGTCTCTTGAATAGGTTTGGCTGTATGAACTTCAAAGTTTTCAGACCCGTTAATGCAATAGGAAAGCATGGACTGACTGGTTTTCAGTCCAGGGCTTAGCTGGCTGTACCAAGCTTTCTTAAATAAGGTAGAGCTGCATATTCTCCTTCATCAGAAAATATCCATGTCTGTTTTTAGTCCTTTCTCAGCCCCCATTCAGATGCAATGTAAAATATGAATGCAATAAAATATAAGTTACAGTAAGTTGGGACACGCTGCTTTAAATTAAAAGATGGGACACCTCTCATAGTGCTTCCTGCTGCAAAAAACTCCCGGAGGCAGCCAGTGGATGGGGCTGATACCAGCAACCGAAGTATCAGTGAAGCCAGACAGAAAGTTACTCATTACAGAACCAGTCATTTAAAACAAAATCATTTGTCTTCTCATTCTTTGTGAAATGGTACAAGAAGGCAAGTGCCAAGATGCAGTTTTGCAGTTAGAGTCTTTAACTGAATGATCTTCTCTCAGCTAAAACATTCCAGCTATTAGAATCACTTCCAAAGGGGTTCAAACAGCCAGTGCGTTTTCCAGGATCATCAGGTTAGCATTCTGCACTTGCCATATCAGTCTCTCTCCTTGCAAATTAAGCTGTCAAATAACACGGGGCAAACATAGAAAATGGTGTTCTCAAACCTGCTCAGCTGTAACTGATGGTAGCTTGTCCCAGTGACAGCAGAAAGAGAAGGTACAACCCAGTAACTGACTTTGCTGTTGCCTCAGGTCTTTTGCATGACAATCAAACCAGCCTTCTTAATAGTAAACACTATTTTACTGATAAAACTCTTATTGCCCTCTTCCTAGGATGTGATTAGTCAGTCTCAGGGCTAGAAGTAATTCTGTTATGTCCTTCAGCCTCACAATTCTCTCGAAACACTTCACAGCAATTCAGAAAAAAAACCTCAAACAAGTAGAAGACCTCCCACATAAGAGATACTGCAACTTGGAGAAAGATGCTCAGGGGTATAACCATACTAAGTCAATGTTAAAACAGCCTCTGAGTTTAACAACCCCAGCTCCAGGTATGAAACTGGCATTTGGTTTTTTCAGAACCACAGTGACTCATGACTGGAATCAATTTGGAAAACAAATCTCCAGCTGCTCAGATCCATTCCCTTTTATTTAAGCCACAAAGACTTAAAACAAGTGTTGCTCTCGATGTGACCTTTGTGACCAGGAAACATGTCAGAGAGACATCTCACTTTCAAAATTTCACCTCTCACAAAAGCCAAAGGCTCACTGTTAGTCTTTCAAAGAAACAAGGCAACCAACACCTATAGCCTTTTCTGCTGAAAACCCAGCTGGCTCTAGACAGACTTTGAAACATGCTATTAAGGTCTGTTCTCTGTTGATCTCCTACCCATAAATGTCCTGCGGCTGCTCTTCATCGACATGTTTTATTCACTACTTTTAGGTTAAGGATTAGCAGATTAAGGAAGGAGTTTGAAACACTGCTTCTATTGGGAAAGGGAGATAGGGGACCAGAAACTGAGGAAATTCAGGTCAAAGTCTAGTTACTGACATGAAATTAATTGCTTCTGAGAGCTCTAACAACAAAACAGATCCAGCACATTTGCCACCTGAATGTATTTCTTGACAGTGAGAAGATAAAAGAGTGGGGAAAAAAATCCTTGCTGCCTGCCTCCATTTAGATGTAGTTTAATCATCCCATATGCTGGAACATCACTAAATCTGGCTGGAGGAAACCTTCCCACAAGGTTTACAGCAGAACACTGAACTGGCCACAGAGGCAAACAGGATCAAACAAACATGGTTTTGGTTCAGTTCATAAAAAGAGCTTTTCCTCCCAGTAAGATCCTAGTCATCCTGTGCTTGGAATATAAAGACAAACTCAGTGTCTACTGGCTACATGATCTTTGCCCTTCATATTACTTCTTCATTCATACTGTTTTGTCTTCTTTGCCCATCAATCTGCATCTAGCCATTGGCTTTGTCTGGACTGCAAGAAGCTTGGGACAGAGGCAAACTTTTAGTGATGTCTGTTCAGGACCCAGAGCAAGAGGGTCAGTTCTGCGTTAAGAACTCCCAGGCTACACAGATAATTATGATAAAAATTCTCCTTGCTGATGGAAGATGTGTTTCTGGTATAAAATTAACTAAAGTATAAATGTGAAGAGCAGCTGGAATTTACTAAAATGAAGCCTGAAGCCTTGTCAAATAATGCTTTGAACATGAAACAGGGACAGGTGGCTCCCGTGCTCCACTACTTTTAGTAAAAGCCATTCTTTGACTACCAGCAACCTTCTACTATGGCCTCATTCTCTTTCTGAGACACTCTGTGTATGGCATGGAGGGTAAGTAGACCCTTTTCACCTGCTAAAAAGCTTCTCGTCTTTGGGGTTAACAGAGTTGTAGAGCAAGCATTTGCTTTCCTGGCTGCAGTCTCTCCCTAGCTGCATTACCCAACACATTGCTGCCTTTGCAAAGCAGCACAAACAGGTGAGGGGCAGGATTTGCTTTTGTGATGACTGGGCTGCTACTCTGCTGGTGTTAATAGCAGTTATGGTTTTAATGGAAACACCGGTATAGTCAGGCTGAGAAACAGTCTGAAAGTGCCACAGAGTTTCTCAATGGCTCAGGCAGTGATGTGACCCCAGGCACAGAATAGTTTTTACTTTTGGGGGTTGAGGGGTTTGTTGGTTTTTTTTCTTTGTTTTCCTTTTCCTTTTCTTTTAGTAAGAGTCCCAGCTGGAGACTCTAAGCTTGCTTTTGTTTGTAGAGAGCCCAAAGCACATGGTTTCTGTTTGTGTCTGTCTCCTAAGGACTACTAGCACAGAAATCACTGTGGCAGTAATGCAATTCATAGCCAAGGGCAGTAAAAGCTTGAGAAATAACTGTGTCAGTTCATAGCGGAGAGGGAGGAACAGCAGGATTAATATAGTGTGAAGGCTGCAGGGCACAGCAGTGGAGGACTGCAGCTAAGTCAATCGATGTAACAAGGGAAAGCTCTCTTCCCAGACACCTGAGAAAGCTGTTCTCATCTACAGGCATTACTGGTGAATGTTATTACTGTAATTAAGCAAGGGCAAAGCATCTAGAGGGGTACTGAGTGAGATGAGGGTCCTATCATTTCAGGTACTATTTACATAAGACTGTTCTGCTGGGTTCAGGAACTTACCCTGTGCTTAAAGTCTATCTGTGTAACCAGCCTGGAGTCTGAGGTGGACAGTGAATGAAGGACATGTCCCAAAGTGAGTGACAAAGCTAGTGAGTAACAGAAGACCTGCAGCATAGCTAATGTTTGGTGAAAGGACAAAGCCAATCTTGTCATATTCACTCATCTCCAGGCATACGGAAGCTAGCTTAAATTGATAAGCCTTAATTTAAATTTCAGTACTCCTATTATTTGTGAAAATGACCTGTCCCTTTTTGAAAACTCATAACAGTATTCTATGGTAATGAGCTCCACAGTTCCTTTCTCCTTTATGAATTATTGGCTTCACTCTGTGTAGTGAAAAAACAAGCAAATCTGTGCTCTAGAAACAGCAATAACTGCCTTCAGAGGCAGCACTGAAAAGGAATTCGCATCACATTGCAACTGGCAGGAGGTAGAATTTGAAACACATTGAGCTGTATTATATGTTAGTGAGTTGAGCTTTCCTAGAGTCACATTGATTGGCATGAATGTATTCCCTCACAACTCAGAAGCTAAGAAATGTGTTATTCTTACTTTGGTAAGGAGATAGCACAATTTGGACAGTGTGGTGGTGACAACATCAGGAAAATGAGAGAGCAGTCAGCAGGGAGCTACCTTTTCAAGAGGGCAAAGAGTCATGTCAGAGAGGGCAAAAATGGGAGATGAGGGGACCAGGTGCTGAACTGCTACTTCAGACACAATTACAGCATCGCTAGGAAGACACTGAGTTACAGAGCCATATGAAGTCCCCTAGACTAAAAGATCAGATGATAGAAGGTATCATATTCATCTTATGTCAGGTAACACTGTTCAGGCCATTTTCACTTGTTTTACAAGCCTTGATGTGGATTAAATGGTGTAAGTGTAGCCCAGCTTCCAAGAAAAGCAGCACAAGTCATCATCCCAGAGAGCCTGAAGGCTTGCACATCACAAGACGCCATGGAACGTAGCTCTGGGCTTCCATTAAAGAGCTTTTTCCTGTATTTGCTTCCTGCCCTGATCTTTTTCAGACAAAAGTGTTGGTCAAGGCCCTGGCTGGACTCTTCTACTAACTCTTCCCTGGTGCATGGGTTCAACGATGGAAGGAACAAGAAAAG